GCTACCCCCCTCCCCGCCCTCATCAGCATAATTATATTCACGTGGGGCAATTAGACTAACGAATGATGTGCGGGGAGAGTGTGGGGGGGGTCGGGAACCCCACCGCCTCGCGGTTGTTTTTTTTTATTTTGGTGGGGAGTGGGAGATCTTTCCTGGAGGTGTCGGGGAAAGGGGTGGCAAGAGGTGGTCCAGCCCCCTCTTTAGGGAGGGGATTTGGTGGAAAAACGGGGTTAATTTACAGCGGTTTATGGCCGGGCTGTCATGCCCACGGTGCGGGCATAAAACACGGGGAGCGCTCTTGGTCCTTCCCTTCGTTATTTTTAGAGCGCGGGGGATAAACGCGTATCCCTCGCCTCGGCGCGAGGGCTGCCTTCCAGAGGAGTTGATTTAATTTTGTTTATTTACCGAGCTGCACCTCCAATGTGTCACGCTCGCCAGCCCCTTCTGCAACTGGAAAAGAATCAGCATCCGAAGAACCGCAGGCATGGCCGGCTGGAAAGCTCTTTGGTTCCTTTCCCCCCTTGCCTCTTTGTCTTCCAAATGCTGCGTTGACCTGTTGTGGTTTGGTTCTCACCTCAGCATTACCACAGTAGCCCTTGGTGTGACATTTCTTGAGAGTCAGAGGAGCTCCTCAGAGCAGAACCAGCCTCTGCAAGAACAGGTAGCTCACCCTGTGGCATTTACTCACATGAATCATAGAAGAGTTTAGGTTGGAAGGGATATTAAAGATCATCAAGTTCCAGCCCCCCTGCCCTGGGCAGGGACACCTCCTACCAGACCAGGTTGCTCAAAGCCCCATCCAGCCTGGCCTTGAACCCCTCCAGGGATGGGGCAGCCGCAGCTTCTCTGGACAACCTGTTCCAGTGCCTCACCACCCTCATCGTGAAAGATTTCTTCCTGGTATCTCATCTAAATCTCCCCTCTTCCAGTTTGAAGCCATTCCCCCTCATCCTATCTCTGAATGCCCTTGTAAAAAGTCCCTTTCTAGCTTTCTTGTAGGCCCTCTTCAGGTACTGGAAGGCTGCTCTAAGGTCTCCCTGGAGCCTTCTCTTCTCCAGACTGAACAACGTCAACTCTCTCAGCCTGTCTTTGTAGAAGATGTGCTCCATCCCTCTGATCATCTTCATGGCCCTCTGCTATTCCAACAGGCCTCCCTATTCCAACAGGTCCATGTCCTTCTTGGGCTGAGGACTCCAAAGCTGGAAGCAGTCCTGACAAGATATGAAGACTCGTGGGATCAAAAAGAGACTTGTCCAAGTACGGAGCTTCTCAGATAAGACTAAGACTGCTGGTTTGTACTACGAATCAAGTTTCCTGATGGAGTCGTATTCGTGCATTTTTATTACCTATTGTTTCCCAAGCATTCAAGCAATCACAACTGCCATGAAGACACGGATCCAACAAGCTTTGTGAGTTTCAGTATAATTACTTAGATTTTTAATAAAGCGTAGCAGAAGTTCATAGCTAGTCATTTATTCCTCATCATTTGCCTTTCTCCTTTCTAAAAGAAAGTTTTGTGAACTCTAGTCGGGGAGAAGTAATGGTGATGACATAGCCCTGGGTGATAATTTCTTCACGATAAACAGTTAATCGTTGCGACGGACAGTTTGCAAACAAACTCCCCTGAGGGACACCTACATTATGAGCAGGAATTGTGAACAACAACTGCTCTTTTCAAAACGAGGGCTTGCTCACCGACTATTTCTCGGCAGTGAGAAGCCAAAGCGGTATTTTGGAATGAATAATCTGACAGAAGAAAACAACTACTGGAAAGAGTCCAGCAAAGGGCAACAAAGATGATTCAAGGACTGGAGCATCTCCCTGGTGAGGAAAGGCTGAGAGAGCTGGGGCTCTTTAGCCTGGAGAAGAGAAGGCTGAGGGGAGACCTTATTAATGCTGACAAGTATCTCAAGGGAGGGTTGAAGGAGGAGAGAGCCAGACTCTTTTCAGTGGTTCCCAGTGAGAGGACGAGGGGCAATGGGCACAAGTTGGAACATAAGAGGTTCCACTCAAATATGAGAAAAAACTTCTTCACAGTAAGGGTGCCAGAGCCCTGGAACAGGCTGCCCAGGGAGGTTGTGGTCCCTTCTTTGGAGATTTTCAAGACCTGCCTGGATGCTCCTGAGTAACATGCTCTGACAAGCTCTAGGCAATCCTGCTTCAGCAGGGGAGTTGGACTAGATGATCTCTATGGTCCCTTCCAACTGTAAAAATTCAGTGAAATTCAGTGAAATAACACCTGCATGTGGGCATGGCACGGGCTCCCCGAGAGCGGTGCCCGGGGGCGGCTGAGGGGCCAAGTGAAGCACTGGAGAGCCATGGGCGCCAGCCACAGTGCTCAGCACGGCCCCCCTGGCTGCCGGTGACATCCAGCACAGCAAAACCACAAATTCGGGATGTGATTAACCTCTCCGGTTTATGCCGGGGGTTACGGAGGCACCGCCGGCGACAGGACGGCCACCCACACCTCACTGCTGTCTGTGGGCACTGCCTCACCTGGGCCGGGGTGGAACTTCCTCCCAGCATTAGCTCTTTTTATTTCAGCACAGATAGGGACAGCCGCTGGCTGCTTCAGTGGGCACGGGCCACCTCTGGTCATCTTCATGGCCCTCTGTTATGGTTTGAGAAAACCTTTAACAATCTATTGTTGTTTAGACAATTATTCTCTCACCCCATGATCCCTCCCCACCCGGAAAGGGGAATCGGGGAACACAAAGAAACACAAGGGTTGAAATATAAATAGATTTAATAGACTGAGACTAAATAATTAACAATACTACTGAAGAACCAGTGTTAATCACAATACTAATATAATATATAGAGGAATTATAATCAGCCCATTCTATCAGAGGAAGCTGTGCGCTTCCAGCAGGGACAGCAAATGGTGGACACTGCCAGCGCAATGGCTTCAGGAGGAAGGGAAGGCCTCAGGGCTCCGGTACAGGGGGACGGGGTTGTCTGGACCCGCCGCCAGCAAGGGAGAGAGAGCTACGCAGCAAACTTTTCTTATTTATATTGAATGTGACGTTCATGGTATGAAATAACCCTGTTGGCCAGCCTGGGTCAAACGCCCAGGCCTTGCTCCTCCTCATCCCAGCGCCTGGCAAGGCTCGAAAACACTAACCTTGAATCCCACAGAGCCTGGCTGGCTATAAAGTAAATATTTTCACAAATTCAGACACTAGAGTCTTCTAAAAGTGCAATTTTCCCCAGCATTAGAAGAAAGGTTAGTCCTGTGTCTCTCAACCCAGGACACCCTCCTCTGGACCCGTTCCAACAGGTCCATGTCCTCCTTGAGCTGAGGACTCCAAAGGTGGATGCGGTCCTAACACAATATAAAGCCTTGTGGGATCAAAAAAAGACCTGTCCAAGTACGGGGGGCACAGATGAGCAGGTACCCATATACCAATGTCACCTGTCTCCATGTTTTGTTTCGCCAAAAGATGGAGCCTGTCTTTCCCAGCATCTTTCTCTGCTGGCATTGGGCTGTCCCATTTGCTTTGGACAAGGTATATTCCACATCAGAAATGAAATTCTCTTGTTGCATTGGATTTATTGCAAAAATCACCAAATGACCCAGATCACCATATTTACACGGGACGCAATGCAAAGCCACTTTCCTACTGGATGGTAAATTCCATGCTGGTTGTTTCTTAATCCAAAGAGGTATGATGAGAAACCTCTATTTTTCTGTCTGGGACAAGTAGAAAACTCTGCCATACTAGAATCAAAGCCCAAACCTGGCAAGAACAACTTTAAAAAAGGCAATAAATTGTTTTCATGGGGATTTTTTTTTTGTTTGTTTTGGGTTTGGTTTTTTTTGTAATGTGTAGCTATACCTCTACACAGCTGGGAGAAATGTTACCTCTACTTGCTCTCCCCTCTGAAAATGGACAAGGCTCACCCATTCCTTGTGTATCCATCTCCTCACACGTATCCTCAGGCAGAGGATGAAGATGATGAAGACATGACAAAAGGACAGTGAGAGGAGAAAGACCAGTACCAAGCCTTCCTCCTCACTCCAGCTTAAAGCTACTATTTTTTTTTTTTTTTGCCAAAGCTTGGTTCTGGTAAAGATGCCACCTAGAAGTTTGTTAAAATGCTTAGAAATGACAGAATTTGAGAATAAATTATTTCAGATAGCTTTATTTTAATGTTTTCACACAGAAACTGTCACCAGAGAGGCTTTGAAGATGAAAAATAGCTGTGTCCTGGAAAAACCATGACGATTTTGCTGGTGGAGGCATATTCGTCCACCTCACGGCAAGGCTGGTCCAGAATAGACCAGACTGGACGACA